TAATGGATGTTATGGGATTAAATACTTGATTGTATAATTGTATAATGTTATTATTCTTGAGTTAATGAAATTAATTATAAACCTTTATTAATAAACCTGGATTTGGAATAATAATTAACCTGGATAATTGGAAATAATATTTAAAATTGATAAAATTAAAAGACGATTAATGGATGAATATAAATACTAAGGATGATGATGAATTTGAAAAGATATTGAAATAGAATGGATGAAAGGTCTGATTTCCTTTCTAAAATAATTGAATCAGTGATACCTTCTAAAATAATAAAACAACAGTCTTACCTTCGAAAAAGAACTATAAACTCCTTAAAAAAACTGTTAAGTCACTTTACTCAGGTGATTCTTAAGAAAACCAGGAACCACTGGTGACAACGCAGTGACACTAGTTGAAAATTGATAAAACAAATACATATCGGGTATCCGATATATGTATGTTTTATCAATTTTCGACTAGTGTGATATATCTCTATTGATATATTTTTGTAATAAACTTTCATAATTCTTTTAATAAACTGTTCTATACTTCTTGACAAACTACTCCAAAAAGTCTGTTAAATTTTGGTAGTGTACAAAACATATAGTAAAGATACTTTTACTCCACTTGCTCACTGTACCTTCAGATATTACATGTAATTGCATTGTTTGAGTATTAGTAAGTAGGTTTAGATCAACTGTTTGCCTGTCTTCCTGTCTTGCTGTGATATTGTGTACAAGAAATAGTGTGTTAGTAATACATTGAATTATCGTGTGATTGACCTAAATTTATTGAGACTGATTGGCTTAACTTTCCACTTGTTCTGCGCAGACTATGACACTAACATTGAGTTCAGAATCTCTTAACTTCACTTTCTCTGCATTTCTTCTATGATTATTTTAGATCAGCTTCAAGCGTACTTTTTTTCTTTTACTATTTGTTCTAATTCTGCGATTTTAGTTTTAATAAATCAACTTTGGATAAATCGGTAGATTCGTCTCTCTGAGTTTGCATGATTAGTAATTTATATAACTTTATCACTAGTATCTAAAAAGGAATTTTACTGGACACGTCTTGAAAAATATTTTTCGTTAGTTTTTTTTTATAACATGCGAATTGTTCAAAAGCTTGTTTATTAATATAATTTATACATATAATAAGACATATGATACAAAACTGTACGATCAGAGATATACGAGATCATATACATTTGCAAATATATTAGAAAAATAAATCCAGAAATACACATGCAAAACTAAACACGATTAATTATACGAAATCATTCACTAGGCCTACAGGATAAATAATTATACAGGTTATACAAATAAACAAAAATAAATGAAACTCGAACAATAACAGTTCACGTTTCTGAAAATTTAAACCATGCAATAATTAATGCTGATGTTGTTGCTGAGAAATTTTTTTAGGTGGAGTTGGATGTATATACTTATAGACCAAATTTGTTGTTTACTACTATCTTTGATAAACAAATGATATTACGTTAATCTGAAATCAAATCCTTGTTCTATGTACCTTCATCTGTTCTATACAATAAATGTCCTAATACACAAGCTTTTTTCCTTTCGAATGCAATTCCTATTTCCAAAAGTTTTTTGACATTTTCTTTTAGGTCTACTCAATATCGCTTCTCTTTGATTTGAAGTAATCCTTCTTGGGACATATAATGTAAACTTTTTTTATCACAAACAACTTTAAATTCTATAATAATAGCCAACTCATCAACACCTGATTCTGGAATTATTTTTACATTATATCTCCCAAAGCTATCCTCACGATTAGAACAAACAATAAACCCTCGATCACGAGAATTAGCGAAAATTCCTAAGCAAAAGGCATGATAAACATATTCTGCTTTTTTTCCAGATTTAGACCCCCGAACTTATAATACGAAAGCATATCTATAATCATATTTTCAAATTCTTTACTAAATAAATCCAGATTTCTATATAAAAGATTGTCTAACATTGATGTGATAGTTTGCCCTTGAGTAAAAAAACAGTACATTTATGTTATTTTGAGTGAACCTCTTCATTTGGAATAACAAGATGTTTCTCAGAATTCATAGTAAGATATCCTGCATAGTACAAAAGTGTTCAAATAGTTAAATCTTGGTATTGATCCAAATGTGAATATCGAAGATCATCTTGAATCTTCACATTAGTAATATTTTCACCTTTTAACAATTTTTCAATGGATTCCTTAAATGAAGAGCTTACTTTCCATAGACATTTTTCCAATGTTTGAGTACTTCTTATATTTGTCCAATAAGTTTTCAAGATACCATCTGAAAGTAGTCCAATAATGGATCATGGATTATATAAATGAATAGTGCCTCCCACGATATAACCATCACACCACTTCTGAACATCATTAATTTTCAAATCTTCACACAATGGCAACAATAATTCTACCTCATCAGATGTGAATTCAAACTTGTCTAAATAAATACAAGATTGATGTTCTTTATGGAAAGGGTAAATCGTAATGTTATTAAGCCCAGACAAAAACTCCAATTCTGCAATCCGTAACATAGCTTTTGCAACATTTTCAGAATTGTTCTAATATTCAATCAGAAATAGATATGAATTTTTGATCAAATTATAATAAAAGGTCACAAAAATCTATCTCACCTTCAATAATGATGAGAACATGACTTTAAAAAAATTATTTGTATTTCCATAATATCAATTATTATAAGCACATTCCATTGAGAGTCGTATTCATCCATCAATACAATACATTTTTTTATTATAGTGTCATCGCAGATACTCAGAAAGTGACTTCAAAGCAGATCCCAATTTTGGTAAAGGTACAGTTGAATCTTCTTTGAGAATTTGTTGATACGTTATTTGTTCATTGGGATATAATTATCAGCCATAAGTACTCTTGATCGTACTATCATTTCATTCCATGATCCAGCGGTTAGATCCTATTTGTGATATACTGTAAGTAAAAAAAAAAATAAAAATCGTAATAAATAAAATTTAACGATGACCAAACCTTAAGAGAGATATGAATGACAGGGTATTTCGCAAAGTGCTGTTGCATAATTTCACTATTACTATCATCTGAAATTTTCAGTTTTTCAAAAAGTTGCCTGCAGGAATTATTTTCTTCTTGAGACCATGATATTTTAAAAAAGTAATTTAACATGGATAAATTTGTTGACTTGCCAAAACGACGAGGACGAAGAATAAGTGATACAAAATCCGAATTCTCAATAAATTCTTTTACGAGCATTGATTTTTCAACAAAAATGAGACGACTGCTTATAATATTTTGAAAGTTATCGTCTCCAACAATAACACTTGCACCAAAGGCAACTCTGGCATTATTGACTATATATTAATTTAATTCGTGAAGTATTTTCATGGGAAAAATCTAAAAAAAGAAGCTAAACATTTTTCGTACTAGTACGTGACCCGTAGCTTGACAGTCAATTATTTAATCATTATAACCGAATAACGTAAGTTATCGTACGCGAGTATGAAATGTTCACTGTATAATAAAATTTTTGTAGTAGGCAAAACTTGAACTAAAATTGTGTCTTGATGATAAATTTATTGATTTTACTAGAAGTCTGATGCTTATTCAAATTATCCCACAATTTTTTCATCAAGAGTTTCTTGTATGGCTTTACTAACATCAGTAACAGGAATATGGAAATATCGAATTAGGGGTAGTTTTCTTGTCCATAAAGGTAAAATGGAGTTCAGAGAAATTCACCTCATTTGATTGAAAGAATATTCCCCAGTTTTGACCTCTTCCATTTTCAGAGAAGTGAAATCTTTAGCTTCATTTGGATGCTTAGCACTGATATGATGTCATATCATTACAAAAAATTTTAAAGTTATTTCCGATAAAAATTGAATGATAAATTAGAAAAAAAAGATGAGACTTTAACCAAAGAACTTTTAGTTTCAATAAGAAGGTGACCGACACTTTAAGAATATAATACATTAGAGTACGCTGTAAAGGGTTTCTCATCCTTAACTTCAATGATTACATACATTTTATAAATTGCGGAGAAAATGAAGAAATGATAAGTTTGTGTAAGTATTGCGCATTAGTTGCAATACGTATATTATAATAACAATAAATGAAGAAGTAAAATGTCTATATAAATCTGATATCTATTCATACTAATATTATTATATTTAAATAAAATATAAAATATAAAATTTTAGAAAATAAAAATTTCATTGCATAAATTATAACCTTAACGTTTAATAAAGGTCAATACTTAAAAAAATATCTTAATTAATAATAAATAATAATATAAATAATAACTAATTTTTTATCACATCATAAATCTTTTTACTTTCTATTTCTAAAAATTGAATAATATTTTTCTTCACCTTACTTGATAAAATTTTTCTCTGATCTTTATTACAAATTTTTCGTTGAGTAAACCATTTATCGATATCAGTAAGTTCTTTAGGATCGGATTTATAAAGAATTAATAATTGAGTGGATAAGTAAAGTTCAAAATAAATTGCAAACAGGAGATCTTCTCGGTCCTTTTTATTGACGATATGTAAAAGAGTTTGTTTTATTGTTTTATTTTTTTTTATTTTTGAAGAGCGAGGAGGAGGAGGAGGAGGAGAAAGATTTGATTCCGTTTTGCACCTTTCTATGTCAACAAAAATTTTATTTTCCAAACTAAGTTCGGCTGAATTTAAACTATTAAGACTTTGTTTATTAATTAAATGAAATTGAAATTCCAAAACGTGTTCTAAGAATAAAAATTCTTTAAATTCCCTATAATCCTCAGCATATTTGTGGTACCAAGGAATTTTTGACATGAATGGTCTATATTGTTCCATTCTTTTAAAAAAATAATTTTAATAATTGAAGAACAAAATGACGAAGGATGAAGATGATAAAATGATGAAGATAAAGAAATGATGATGAAAAATAATGAGGGAATAACGAAAAAAAGAATGAATAATAAATGAATGAGTATTATATATAATGTAATAACGAATGTAATGAGCGGACGAATGTGGTAATTATTAAATAATAAGATAAAACCCTTGTTTATATTCTAGAAAGTTTAAGAATCATTGATTATCAATTATGATTGGTAAATAATCTATTTCAATCACATCATTCATTGTTTTCTAACGTAGCACCACCGTTAATAATTTTTGTGTTCTTTGTGAAATGTCAGAAAGTTCTTTCGATTACGGATCAAACGGATTCAAATTTTCCTTTTATTACTCAGTACGTATACACTTAATATATTTTACACTACGAATAAAATCGGAACATTCCTACTATATTAGATATATCAATTGTGTAAATATTTGTCGATACTATTACTGATAACAATAATATTTTCAATATATATTTATTTTAATCCGTAAATAGATTGATTCGCAGCAAGCTATAATACTATAATACTATAATACTAATACTATAATACTAATACTATAATTATAATATTTATAATATTTATAATATTTATAATATTATATTAATCCTATTCAATTATAATATTTATCCCAACAATCAAATTTGTCGTATCATATATCATATTTATAATCAATCAATTTATCTACGTTTTTTACTTTTCTTTGATTCTTCCTTTTTTCCAATAAGAAGAATTTTAGCTTTTTTATCTGTAATCTCTTCATTATCGCTTTTACTAATTCCTTCTTGAAATCCCAAAGTTCTTCGATGTTGATAACCCGGATATTGACTTGGAATAAATGGATTAGTGGCACGAATAACTAAATTACCAATTGATTTTATAATATTTTTAATATTCCAATTATCGTAAGGTAATCCAGATTTAAGAGACAAAAAAATTTCGCCATCGTATTTATCCGAATTACGACTTCGAGATGATAAGAATGGTATACAAGATATCAAGAATGCCTTGATTAATTTTTGATTTTCGAGAATATTTCGATTTTGATCTTTAATTCCTGCGCCTATCAATGTTAATTTAAATGTAGATTTAATTTAATAATAATATAATAATAATAATAATAATAATAACTTTAAATTTACCTGCATGCGGAAAATTGAATACAATCTTATCAAATCTTTTATTTTTTAATTCTTTACATTTATCTAATTGTGTAGCGTCAACACTAAACATTACTTTTCCACCTTTTTGAATCAATGCTGAAATATGTTCATGCGCATCATCATATTTTCGTTTTAATATTCTTTCACTATCCAAAGTTGTTGCAATAATTGAATCGCCAGTTTTGAGAATATTTTCGGCAAGAGAATGTGCGAAACTAAAGTTTCCTATATATATATATATTTATATCGCATAATCAACTAATTAATTATTTTTAAATCTAAAACTATCATTATATTATTAATATTTACTATTTTTTTGTTATTATTTATTTATTAATAACTACCTTCTCCTACTAATAAGACTGATTGATCTGGTTTAAAGGGTGGAGGTGGAGGTGGAGCGGGTGTTCGAGAACTTGAAAATCGTGAAACAGAAGAAGAAGAGCCCCATATCGAAGGTAAAGAAGAAAAGGAAGAGATGCCACCGTAAGGTTTTCGAAACATTTCGGAAACATGTTTCAATATACTTTCTCGAAGTTTTAATTCTTCGCGGAAAGATAACTTAAGTTTTGACTTGGCTTTAGGCATTTTTCCTGTGGGAAGATAAAGATTTAATCTGATAAATTTTATCATTATTTTTTATTTTATTCATTATTATTCCACGTGATTTAAACCGTGTACACGTACTACAATACAAATAATACGCGTTTCTTCAAATAATTATTCTTTTTCTTCAAATAATTATTCTCATTTTTATTTTATTTCATTTTTTTTTTTTAGCAATGGTATTTAATTTATTATTTATTATCATTTTTTTTATATATATTACATTATTATTTATTCATTATTTATTAATCATTTATTAATTATTTAGTCAAAGAAAGGACTTTCTGCTGCAGAAAAACGTAAAAGACTTGAAGAATTATTCCATGAAACTGTATTTTTTTCTATTATTATTTAAATAAGATTTCTCGGGAACAATTTATGTATCTAATATCTAATACCTTCAATGCATCTTTATATATAGAAAGATTTTTTTCAACTTAAAGAATTAGAAAAAATAGCACCAAAACGAAAGGGGATTGGTAAAATTTAATTTTATTACATACAATAAAACAACCTGTCAACATATTATAATTTTAATCTCCGAGAGAGAAAACATTTATATCATCTATTCATGAGAATATATTTATTATTATAATAGTGGTACAATCAGTTAAAGATGTTTTGCAAGAATTGGTAAATGATAATCTTGTCGTTCAAGATAAGATAGGATTATCAAATTACTTTTGGTCTTTTCCTAGTAGTGCTCTACAATCGGTCGGTAAATCATTTTTTTTTTTAAAAAAAAAAAATTATGAATAATCATTTTATTTAAAAAAAATATGGAGAAAGTGTGTAAACGTGTGGTGCGTATTTATAAAATTTATTTATAATAATTAAATAGCGAACAACAAAAATTGAAGAGTTAACTGAAGAACTTAAAAAATTAAAAGATAAAAATATTGAATTACAATCAAGTATTGAAAAAGCATCGGGCGGTCGTGAAGAATCGGTAATATAATTTATATAATTTATATAAACATTTGTATTTCGTACCTTTTGAATTTATAAAATAATTAAAATAATTAATAATTTTTTTTTTTTTTTTTTTTTTTTTTTTTTAAAAAAAATGATTAAATAGGATAATCGTAAAACATTATTGAAAAATTTGTCAGAATTAGAAACAAAACGCATAAATTATAGGAAAGAATTAGATCATTATAAAGAGCATGATCCTATACTCTTAGAAGCTAAAAGTAATTATTTCTTTCTCTCTCTCTCTACTTTTCTATATTTTAAGTGGTTATTTAATAATTTCCTTCTTTCGTATGTATTTTTTTTTTTTAGAACACCACGCAAATGTGGCATTAGAATCAGCCAATCGTTGGACAGGTTAGTAATATTAAATATAATTATAATTATAATTAATATAAGTTTAATTTATAATAATAATTTTCTCTTACTTACCTGATCTGTTAAAATATTTTCACCCATCACAGAAAATGTTTTCATAATTCAGTCATATTGCAGTAATAAATTTGGTATGGAACGTGGTGACTTTAATAAACAATTTGATATACCGGAAGATCTTGATACTTTGTAAATAAAAAATATCAACAATTTATATCAATTATAATTACTTAATTTAGTAATCAATTATAAATAATTAATATGAATATTTCAAGTTAATAATAAATACATCTTTATTAATTAATTAATTAATACTGTATTAAATCAAAAAATTTTTTACAAAATAAAAACTATCAAGGATTCAAGAAAAAAATAAATACGATAATATGTATTTATTTATTTCTTTTACATTTCTAACACTTTACACTTTTATCACACCTCTTCTCTGAAAAATAAAATAAAATAAAAAATAAATAATAATTAATGTTCTTCTAATTCTTCTTCAATCAAAATGTTCTCTTCATCTCTTGGTATATTACTATAATTTCCTCTTGGTCTTCTTGGTTTGAACATTGGAATTTGTGCAATTATTATAAGAACCATATCCTGTAACGTAATTTAGAATTTTTAGAATTATCGTAATAATGTTAAATAATAATTATAATAATAATAATAATAATAATAATAATAATAATAATAATAATAATAATTTAATTTAATTAATTAATAAAAAATAACAATTAATGAATATTAAACATACCTTTGTAAAATCCCATAAATTACACCAAAATTCCCAGTTAGGAATTTGATAAAATCCACTTGCGCGATGAACCATACGATTATATGCAATACCTCCCAAAAAGTATACAATTAATGCAATCGCGAAACTAAAAAAACAAATGAATATTAATAAAAAGTGTAGAAATAAAATATATTATGTATGATCATAACTTACATAGTAAAGAAAACACCCCACGAACTCATTGCTCCTCCGTTAACTGAAGTAGGACATGCAACGGGAGTTTTCCATTCAAACACGAATGCACAATCTTCATAATTATAAATAAGTCTTGGTTCACCCTTTTTTAATTTTAATTTTAATTTTATATATATAATATATATTTATAAATATCCATAAAAAGTAAAATAATTAGAATATAATTAATTTCATTTAAATTAATTTTTTCAAAAATAAAATAAAAAAAAAAATCAAGAAAATTAAAAATTAAATAACATACTTGTCCTTCAACAGTTTGATCACATTTAAAGTAAATTACACTAGTATATTTAATACTATCTGTACCACACTTCCCGCCCACATATTCTAAATAAACATCATCATCTATAAAAGAAAAATTAAATAGAAAAATCTAATTTAATAAAAATAAAGTTAACCCCTTCTCCCTTGCTATCATTACTAAAGAGAGGATTCGAATTTCTTCTTTTTACCATTCAAATGAGGATTTTTATTGAAATTTCTTTAAAATTAAAAAATTAGAAAAAATTAATGATATTTATATATATAATACCTATAATAATTATTAAAAAAAAAAAAAACTTACCCTAATTTTAACCCACTATCGTGACCATCTTTTTTACCCCATACACCAATTTCTTCAGTATCTACTCCATTTACTTCATGTAAAATTTTATCACAAACATTTATATAAAAAGTATATTCATGAGATTTTAATACCCAATCTGATCTATAAATTATTTTTATTTTTATTTTTTTTTTGTAATTATAGAATCAAATTATAAACATTATAAAAAAAAAAAAAATTAAGAGTGTATATGTAAAAGGCGAATTTACGATTTACCCCGAAGCTTTTTTCAACGGACTCAAATCGAACCGTTTTTTTGAAGTGGTATTAGTAACTGAGCAATCATTACTGGATGAATCTTCGGCAAATATAATCGTTGCATTAATAATAATCATTAAAATTAATACACCACAAAATTTCGAAAAAGGCATCATTTCTTGAATTCCTTTTTATATTCCTTTCAAATCACTTGGGAATTCCTTCTAAATTACTCTAAACTTGATTTTTTTAAATTTATGATAAAAAAAAAATTTTTATACGAAAAAGGGAATAACTAATTAAAATAATAAAAAGTATAAAAATAAAACTTTGACGGAGAAAGATTCCGTCCAAGAGTATAAATAGTTAATTATTTATATAAAAATTGGATTGATCGACTTCAGCGTAAACGTGATAAGGGATTAAAAAAACGCCACATTGTTTTTTATTTTCTGCGCAATTGCAAAGTAAAATAAAAAATAAAGTGAAAAAATGTCTTTTAAATTTTTTGACAAATTATCCCAAAATTTTATTGAACTTCTTAACAATAAAGATGATTACAATATAATCGTCGAAGTTGAGGATAAGAATTCCTTTAAGGCGCATTCTAACGTATTAAAGTGTCGTTCGCCTTATTTTCGTAAAGAGTTAAAAAAAATTATCCCGAATGAAAACAATATTAAGAAAATTACTAAACCAAATATTTCTGGTGTAATTTTTGATATTATTCTTAAGTAAGTTATTATCATTTATTAATCATTTATTAATCATTTATTAATGAAAATTCTATTAGTAATAATGATTAATTATAAATTAATAATCAATATTTATTATATTAGATACATTTATGGTGGAATTGTTGATTTCGAAAATCTTGCTACAAGATTTATTTTTGATTTAATGATGGCAGCTAATGAATTTGAAATCGAAGAACTGACCAAGAAACTAGAGAACCATCTTATTGAAAATAAAAGTTCTTGGTTAAAGTCTCATTTTTCTCTAGTTTATCGTTCAATTTTTAACGGAAATGACTTCGAAGATTTAGAAAAATTTTGCAATGATATTATTGCAAAGTATCCATCTCTCATTTTTGATGCTGAAGATTTTACTTCTCTTCAAGAATCTGCACTGGTATCTCTTCTCAAACGAGATGATTTACAAATAGAAGAGGTCATAATTTGGGAATATATTATTAAATGGGGAATTGCTCAGAATTCCACTTTACCTTTAAATATTGACGAGTGGACCAATGAAAATTTTACAACTTTAAAAACTACTCTTCAACAATGCTTGCCTCTAATTCGATATTTCCATATTCCCAGTACAGATATTTGGAAAAAGATAAAGCCTTATAAGAAAATTCTTGATGAACAACTTTGGGAAGATTTTACTCAGTATTTCATGGCTCCTGATGAACCAATGAAAACAATTATTTTACCACCAAGAACGATTTTAGTTCAAGAATTGCCTACCCGTACAACAGAATTAATAAAACCATCTTCCACCATTATTACTTTTGAACATGTAGCCGAAATTTCCTCTTGGATTGATCGTAAATCAAGCACTTATTCTTTAACAAATACTCCATATGAGTTTCAATTAATATTAAGAGGAAGTATAAATGGATTTGCGCCTCAAACTTTTTGGGATACCTGCCACGGTCATTCTAGTACTGTAGTTATCATGAAAGTTAAAGGAACAGACGAAATCCTTGGAGGTTATAATCCTTTAATTTGGGATGCTAATACTGTCAATTCTGGAAATGGTGGTAAGTGGGAAAAAACTAATGATAGCTTTATTTTCTCATTGAAAAATGGCAATATACAAAATTCAATTCTTAGTAGAGTAAAAAAACTCGAATATGCAATTTTCAATATTCACAAAAGTTTTCAAAAGGTTAATGGTCCATATTTTGGATGCGGCTCCAATCTTTGTATGTATAGTCCTAGTTCTAATTTTACGTTAGATAATAACAGTATGTGTAATTATAACGGTTATTATGAAAAACCCATTAGAACAACAACATCTAATTTCTCAATTGTTGATTATGAAGTATTAAAGGTTATTAATAAAACTAGTTAGAAATTTCAATCCTCAGATAATGATCAATGAAATTTAAATATTTTCCTTGTATTTGTATTTATTAAATTACAATCAATATGATTTTATCTGTTATAATTAAATAAATTTTAAAGTACTACTTTCCCATATGTTATATTTTGAAATATAAATTCTATGTAATAAAATATTTATCCTTTTACAGTATGCATCAATTTTTGGGATCACACTAATTAGATGAAATAGAATCTTGTTTACTTTGAACAGAACATTCCATACAAAAATTCGAATCAATTTTATTCTCATGACGTTTTTCTGAATAAAATGTTTTTAAAATTTTTCGACAAATTATCATATAACCAAATATTTCGGATGAAATTTTTGTTATTATTCTTAAGTTATTATCATAAAATGCTATAATGAGTTAATTTTGAAAATGTTGACACAAGATTTATTTTTGATTTAATAATGGCAGCTAATGAATTTGAAATTGAAGAGTTGACCAAGAGACTAGAAATCATCTTATTGAAAATAAAAGTTCTGTTCAATTTCTAACGGAAATAGCTTCAAATATTCAGAAAAATTCTGCAATGACATCATTGCAAAGTATCCAAATATTATCTTTGTTGCTGAAGATTTCGCTTCTCTTCAGCAATCAGCATTGGTTTTTCTCTTCAAACGAGATGATTTACAACTAGAAGAAGTGATAATTTAGGAATATATTATTAAATGGGGAATTGCTCAGAATTCCACTTTACCTGTAGACCTTAAAAAATGGACCAGTGAAGATTTTACATCTTCAACAATTCCTATCTCAAATTTAATATTTTCATATTCCTGGTACTGATTTTTTGAAAAAATAAAGCCTTACAAGAAAATTCTTGACGAACAACTTTGGGAAGATTTGAATCAGTTTTCATGGTTCCAGACCAACAATTAGAATCAATTATTTTACCACCAAGAACAATTTTGTTCAAGAATTACCTATCCGTATAATATTAGAACAATCAAAATCAACAAAATTATTTTCCACCATTATTACTTATAAACATGTAGCCGAATTTCCTTTGGATTGATCATAAATCAAGTACTTATTCTTTAAACAAATACGCCATAAGAGTTTCAATTAATTTTAAAAGGAAGTATTGACCTGAAACGCTTTGGGATACCCGCCATGGTTGAAATTACCGTAGAGAAATATAATTTTTTGTGACAATAATCACAAGTATCTGGTGATGGGGGGCACGCTAGTACTAAATCCAGTTGGAAGACATTGAGAATTCACAGTAATACCTAATGTAATTAATTTGCATTCTATTTTTTTTTTGTTTTGTGTAATTTACTTTTTCCAGAATTTTTTAAAAATTTCTTAAAAATATTCTAATAAAAATAGTGATGTTTTTTCTGTAAGAAAGTTTAAAGATGATAGTTTATAAGGATATGATTTTGTTCTTTCAAAAATGTTTTTAATTTCACTTTGATTTCATTCATCTAATAAAATATAAAATCAAAATTTATTATATTATAATTGATAATTATAAATAATTTTATAATAATACCTATTACAGAGGCTTGTTTTATAATGTTATCTACATTATTGTTTGTATATGTATGTGCATGTATCTTACTGTGTTAGTTTTCAACATAATAATCATTGAAATTTACTAAAAATAATTTTACAACTTCTATAAATGGATGTTTTGTATCTTTCCTATAAAATATATTTGAAAGAAATGCTAAAGTGCTTTATTATAATTATGTCTTTTTCAACAAAGAGCAAAGGTCCAAATTCAAAAAATAGTTCTACATATTCATTAAATGAACCAGATCTAAATAAAATAGCATAAATATCTAAAGTTGCTGGAATAATATTATCTAATAAATCTAAAATCATTTGATATTCAATATCTTTACAGATATTTCTAAATTTTGTTAAAATTGTTTCTCTTATTTTACATCATCGATTATAAGCCAAATCAAGAAGCAAATTTATGTGTCAAGGTTTTGGTTTTTTGCTAATATTTTTTTTTTCCAAATACAAAATGTAATAAATAATTAAAACATATTCTATATTATTAAGAGAAACATGAAAAGGACCCAAAATTGGAACAAATGAATTAATTCTTGAAGGTATTGAATATTGTGAATTATCTTTATAGAGATCTGTTATTTCTTTACATATAAATAGCTGTCCTGGCCAGTTAGCAACTAATGGTGCAACTCTATCACATAAAATACCAGTATTATCATCAATATCCAAAAGTAATTGTAATGCACTTATATAATTATTCATAGAATGTAAATTTTTTTCTTGAAGTCCAATCAATTATACTCCTTTCATTGAACATTCCTCTTTCTTTTCCACAATTGCATCATCATAAAAATGGACTGTAAGTAATTCTATTTTATCAAAGTTATTGATATCTAACCCTCTATTAACAAGTCATTGTTTTTTACAATTGTATAAGAAGTATCAAAAGTTCCATGGTATTGATTTATTAACTGGAAACAAATATTACTGGCATCAATATTTACTGGATTATGTATTGAAGAACCATTGAAAATAATTGGTACTGGTTCATGTGCTGAAACTTGTTTACAAATGCAGGTAGCCATATGCTTTGCAGTTGATAAGGTTGTTGCATTAGGTCTCCTTTTTTCATGAATATCATGGTAATCATCCAAATTATAGATATACAAATAATTGTTCTAATTATATACAATATTAGATTAATATAAAATTATTTTTTTTAAAAAAATAATAATAATTTTACTTACTTGTTCTGAAAAAAATTCTCTTATTTTTAAAGGATGTTCATTTGCAAGTTTTCATTTAAAATTATTGATTGTTGTCTAACATGCAGATAATCCAATATTGTTTAATGTATCAATGGCAGTATGTGATGCTCCTGATGCTGATAGATATAATCCAATTTCTAATTTAAAATCATTGGCAAATTTGTTTTGTATTCCAGCAATTATGTAACATAGGCTTACAATTGTTTTTTTTGCCTCAATTTTATTATATAAAGATCTCTTATCAGGAATCAATGCCTTTTCCAGTTTATCAAAAAATCCTTGTAAGTGTGGATCAAATTCTACAATCATTTGCTGAAAATGAATAGGATCAAGCTCAATATTTTCACATTGCATATATAAAACTTTTGTAAGTATACTGACTTGTTTAATAAATGAATAGCTTTTTGGTTCTATAAAATAAAAAATTAAAATTAATTATGTTATATTATAGTATTAAATTTTATAATTGTTAATTTTACCTTGTGTTTTTGATTTTTGATAATGGTCAGTTTCAACAATCTCAAATAACGAATATGACATAACTGTTCTCAAATTTTAAATAAGGATAAAATTTAAATGATCCATTATTTTGAGCTTTTTTATATGCTAATAAAGTAATTTGATGAAAGCGGGACATTTGAAGATTACAATTTTGTACTGAGCTAGGACCAGAGTTTTTTTTTTCGAAAAAATATTTATAAAAAATATTTATATTTTAACCAATTATAAGTGTTGATCACTAGCCAATAAAAATGAACTATCCCTATACTTTGGTGCCTGGAGAGAGGACGCGGTTGGGATGTTTTGTTTCTAATCGTTCATACTCCCTATTTCAAATTATTAATTTATTTAAATAATTTATTGTTAATATTATTATTATTAACCATTAATTATTTAATAATCTTTTTATTTTCACTATTATCTTGTACCTCCCCAATTATGATGTCTTTCTCTTTAAATTTTTGTAAATCAAATTTTCTGTTAACACATTCCGATTTTTTGGCAACATAATATCTACTGCATTAACAACAAAATTTGAATTAGATGGAACTTCATTATAATGTTCAACAAAGCAAATATTTGAAAAAGAGATGATGATTTGCGCTCAAAAATAATTCTTTAAATAGTATGATATAAATTTTAATGCTTACATAAACCATAAACCATAAAAATTGAAGAAAATATTTTTTCCGTACGCAATATCATTATTATTTTTTTCAGACAAAAAAAATCCAAGTTTGCGTTATTATATAAAAAATGAGCGTAACACGAACTTCACCTTGCAATAGGAATTATAAAAGATAAAAAATAATAAAAAATAAAATTTAAATGCGTGCGCGCCTAATCTGCGATATACTCTTAGTGTATATTTCATATGATTCGGAACTTTTTTTCTCCATTATTTAAACACCTCCCCTTCCTTGGAAAAAATTTTTCACCTATTTTTTCTTCCTCTATACTTATACTTAAATATAATTAAATTTAAATTTATATTTTAATTTAAATCTATAATATTTAATTTATGTAATGGGTGTTTTTCTATCGAAATAGGATCTGGTTAGACAAAGCCGCCAATATTTATTCCTGTACGTCAGATTCTTGAATTTTTAGGTATATTTATTTATTCATTCAATTTTTTAAAGTCACACTGTTTACTTTGAAATTCCATACAAAATTCGAAACAATTTTATTCTCATGACGTTTTCCCACATTTTACGACTAAAATGTTTTATAATTTTTTTGACAAACTATCACAAAATTTTATTGAACTTCTTAACGATAAAGATGATTATAATGTCATCATCGAAGTCGAAAATGAAAAATCTTTTTTAGCGCACTCTAATGTTTTGAGGTGTCGCTCAACTTATTTTCGTAGAGAGTTAGAAAATATTATTCCAAATGAAAACAATATTATGAAAATTACTAAACCAAATATTCCTGGTGTAATTTTTGATATTATTCTTAAGTAAGTTATTATCATTTATTAACGAAAATTCTATTAGTAATAATAATAAGTTACATAAATTAATAATCAATATTTATTTTATAAGATATATTTATGGCGGAATTGTTAATTTTGAAAATGTTGAAACAAGATTTATTTTTGATTTGATGATAACAGTTAATGAACTTGAAATTGAAGAGTTGACCAAGAAACTAGAAAATCATCTTATTGAAAAGAAAAGTTCTTGGTTAAAGTCTCATTTTTCTCTGGTCTATCGTTCAATTTTTAACGGAAATGACTTCAAAGAATTAGAAAAATTTTGCAATGATATTGTTGCAAAGTATCCAAATATTATTTTTGATGCTGAAAATTTCGCTTCTCTTCAAGAATCGGCATTGGTTTCTCTCCTCAAACGAGATGATTTACAACTAGAAGAAGTGATAATTTGGGAATATATTATTAAATGGGGAATTGCTCAGAATTCCACTTTATCTGTTGACATTGAAAAATGGACCGATGAAAATTTTACAACTTTAAAAACTACTCTTCAACAATGCCTACCTCTAATTCGATATTTTCATATTCCCGATCCTGATTTTTTGAAAAAAATAAAGCCTTACAAGAAAATTCTTGACGAACAACTTTGGGAAGATTTGAATCAGTATTTAATGGCTCCAGACCAACCAGTGGAATCAATTGTTTTACCACCAAGAACAATTTTTGTTCAAAAATTACCTACCCGTACAACAGAATTAATAAAACCATCTTCCACCATTATTACTTTTGAAAATGTAGCCGAAATTTCCTCTTGGATTGATCTTAAATCAAGCACTTATTCTTTAACAAATACTCCATACGAGTTTCAATTAATATTAAGAGGAAGTATAAATGGATTTGCTCCTCAAACTTTTTGGGATATCTGCCACGGTCATGCGAATACTGTGGTGATTATGAAAGTTAAAGGAACAGACGAAATCCTTGGAGGTTATAATCCTTTAATTTGGGATGCTAATGCTGTCAATTCTGGAAATGGTGGTAAGTGGGAAAAAACTAATGATAGCTTTATTTTCTCATTAAAAAATGGCAATATACAAAATTCAATTCTTAGTAGAGCAAAAGTTTATGAACGTGCAATTTTCAATGTCCACAAAAGTATACAAAAATTTTATGGTCCATATTTTGGATACAGCTCCAATCTTTGTATGTATAGTCCTAGTTCTAATTTTACGTTAGATAATAACAGTATGTGTAATTATAACGGTTATTATGAAAAACCAATTAGAACAACATCTAATTTCTCAATTGTTGATTATGAAGTATTTAAGGTTTTTAATCCTCAGATAATGATTAATGAAATTTAAATATTTTTCTTGTATTTATATTTATTAAATTACAATCAATATGATTTTATCTGTTATAATTAAATAAATTTTAAAGTACTACTTTCCCATATGTTATATTTTGAAATATAAATTCTATGTAATAAAATATTTATTCTTTTACAGTATGCATCAGATAAACCATTTTAGATAAGATTTATTTATTCGATCATACTAATTAGATAAAATAGAATCTTTTTCTCATTAAGTTTTTCCACATTTTACGAATAAAATGTCTTTAAGGTTTTTTCGACAAATTATCCCAAAATTTTATTGAATTTCTTAGCGATAAGATGATTATAATGTAATCATTGATGTTGAGAATGAGATATCTTTTATAGCGCACTCTAATGTGTTGAGGTGTCGTTCAACTTATTTTCTTAAAGAGTTCCCAAATGAAACCAATATTAAGACAATTACTATACTAAACCAAATATTTCTGATGTAATTTTTGTTATTATTCTTAAGTAAGTTATTATCTTAAAAATTTAATAATGAGCTACATTAATTAATAATCAATATTTATTTTATAAAATATTTTTTTGGTGGAATTGTTAAGTTTGAAAATGTTGAAAAAAGATTTATTTTTGATTTAATGATGACAGCTAATGAATAGTTGACCAAGAGACCAGAAAACATTTTATTGAAAATAAAAGTTCTTAATAACTTCAAATATTTAGATAAATTTTGCAATGACATGATTGCAAAGTATCCAAATATTATTTTTGATGCTGAAGATTTCACTTCTCGTCAAGCAGTATTGGTTTCACTCCTCAAATGAGATTAAATGAGAAATTGATCAGAATTCCACTTTATATGTAGACCTTGAAAAATGAAAATTTTACAACTTTAAAAACTACTCTTCAACAATGCCTACCTCTAATTCGATATTTTCATATTCCTGATCCTGATTTTTTGAAAAAATAAAGCCTTACAAGAAAATTCTTGACGAACAACTTTGGGAAGATTTGAATCAGTTTTCATGGCTTCAGAACGACCAATTTGTATCAATTATTTTACCACCAAGAACAATTTGTTCAAGAATCATATACCCGTGTAATATTAGAACAATCAAAACCAACAAAACCACTTTCCGTCATTATTACTTATAAACATGTATCCGAAATTTCCTCTTGGATTGATCGTAAACCGAGTACTTATTTTTTAACAAATACGTCATATGAAGAATTGATGAATTTAAACCTGAAACGTTTTGGGATACCTGCCATGGTCATGCGAGTACTGTGGTGATCATGAAAGTTAAAGAAGCAGACGAAATCCTCGGAGTATACGATCCTTTAATTTGGGATGCTAATTCTGTTAATGGTTATGGTGGTAGTGAATGGTAGCTTTATTTTATCATTGAAAAATGACAATATACAAAATTCAATTCTTAGTAGAGTAAAAAAAAACCCAAATATAAAATTTATAATGTTCACAAAAGTGTACAAAAAAAAATATGGTACTTCTAGTTCTAATTTTATAACTGTAACGGTTATTCTGAAAAGCCTATCAAAACTGTTTCTCAATTGTTGATTATGAAATATTTGGGTTATTAAGAAAATTTGATTAGTAATTAGGAAAAGAATTAATGTTATTTATGTTATTTCTTTATATTGAATAAAAATTTTAATTTTTATTTTTTTTAAACTTTTAATTTTATTTATTTATTTTATCAATGAATTATGTTATTTGACATTATCGGTGTTTGAATATGGTTTATCAATAAATTTAGTAATATAAACAAATTTAATGTAGTTTATGCTCCTCTCTTCTCGAGATTTGTGAATAAATTATGCCATCACCTTGCTTTTTGAGTCAAGAAATTATGAAGACGGCAACAACAAAAAAGATGACATCGAATTTATTCTATTTAAATTTAATTTACCTTGGTATCAATCATATAAATTTAAACATTATAACTTCTTACCTGATCAATGGGAATTTCTTGATAAAATATATTTTTACTTCAATCATTATTAATTCTTCAAAAACCAAAGACGAAAATAATAAATCAACAAATTGGAAATACCTTATTATTTATTTGCCAGCAAGTTATGGGATCATGAATATAAATTACAAGTTGAAAAGAATAATCATTGTGATGAAAATAATGAAAAAAATGATTCTTGATGACGATGATATAATATCTAAATCATCGTCGCATTGTTTTAATAAACCATCACGAAATGATTTTACAAGCAGATGAAGATGATGACGAAGAGGAATCTATGATGATATTTGTAAGGAAGTTGCATCATGTCGGATTTGGGTTAAGATGATTACTGAAGTTTTCAATCAAATTTATATTTCGATCCAAAAAGTAAAAAGTTCGTAAAAAGAATTGGTGAGAAACATTTGTTGGAAATAATGGAAGATGTGATATCTTTAATCGACTCACATCCATGATTTTGGTTGGTATTTATACTAAAAAAAAAAATTTTTTTTGTATAAAAGAATAATGATGATGAAGGGATTGTCATGTGCAAACGTACAGTATGTATGAGAATGTTTTTTCTCTCTTGATTGTTGAGATATTGCTGATAGTTTGATCATTTGATAGTTTTTGCGCTCAAAAATAATTCTTTTAAATAGTATTATATAAATTTTAATTGCTTACATAAAGCATAAATCATGAAAATTAAAATACGAAATATAGATAAAATTTAAATTTATTTAAAATTTTTCAAGTTCTTAGAATATCATTGTTAATTTTTTTCAGATCAAAAAAAAAAAAATCCAAGTTTGCAGCAGCCTAACCAAGTTATCATAGAAAAAAAATGAGCATAACACGAACTACCAGTCCAATCAATAAATTTACCACCAAGATCAGTTTTAATTTGAGAATTGCCTACTCATACAATGGAACAAGCGAAACCTCCTTCCACTATTATTACTTATGAACATGTAGCCGAAATTTCCTCTCGGATTGATCGTAAATTAAGTACTTATTCTTTAACAAACATTCCGTATGAGTTTCAATTAATTTAAGAGGAAGTATTAATAGGTTTAAACCTTAAACTTTTTGGGATAAATGTCACGGTAATGCGAGTACTGCAGTGATAATAAAAGTCATAGAATTCTCGGAGGATACAATCCTTTAGCTTGGGATGTTAATGCTGATGGTAATCGGGATTAACTAATGATAGATTTATTTTCTCAATGAAAAATGATTATGTACAAAATTCAATTCTTAGTAGAGTAAAACAATCAGGTTATTCATTTTTTAATTTTAAAAAAAGTGAACAAGTAAATTATGGTCCACATTTTGGAAATGATCTTTATATGTATAGTTCTAGTTTTAATTTTACTTTAGATACTTGCAGTTGTAATTATAACGGTCATTATGAAAAACCTATAATAGCAACAGATAATTTCTCAATTATTTGATTATGAAGTACGTATTTATGTTTATTAAGAAAACTATTTAGAATTTTCAATCCTTTAATATTATGAATTTATTAGTTTTTTTTTATATATATTGTTGAGTATTAATTTCATAAATTATATCTTCTTTTTTTGAAATTTTAAGTTATTATTGAATCTTATATTATATTAGCATAATCTTGAATTCTCAATAGTTAACTAGTGATTATGAAAAGGTGAGATTTTTTGGTTATTGTTATTTTACGTATTTGGAACAGAAGTCCAATTTTTTTTTTTTATTTCTTTGCTGCCAAACACGAAACATTTTTTGTCTGTTTCAAATGGCCAACTTTTTTTAATTAAATAATTAATTATAGTAATACTTGATTAATAATTAAATATAGTAATAATTATTTAAATAAATAAATATAGTAATATACAACGGAATTATTAAAGTATAAAGTCTATTAGTTGTAATAGGATTGATGATAATATTTTGGTATATAAAAATCATATAATAAAATAATAAAGGAAATTAATTAAAATAGACTATTTCCTTTCCGTTTATTTTCTTCATTTTTATGTCTTCGTCGCTAATTTCAGCTCATTAATTTACTGTATCAACGAGCTAGAAAAACAAGAACTCTCTACCCGAAAACTCAAGTTCAGATGAGAAGGAGTAATATATTAAAAATATCTTTTAAAAAAATTTACCATTTATCACTTTATATTCTAAAGGTAATATCTGCAATAAAATATCAAATATAAGTAGCAATTCGTCTACACATCGTTTCGATATTAGGCGCATCAATAATATTTATTATAAAAACAAAAGACATGCAAAGTCGAAAATCATCAGAAAAGTATTTTTATTAATTTTTTGTTAAGAATTATAAAAAAATTATTTTAATTAAACTTTCTTATAAAATCTTAAAATATTCACTTAAACAAACATTTAAAATTGATCATGATAATATAAAGCCCAATTAATTAAGACATTAAAACTAAAAATGATAATTTAAAATTTTTTAATCCAATTTAGAAAAAATATAATTCAAAACCTAAAGATAGAGGTAATACGATCTTTGATTTTTATTTAAAATATTTTTTATTTTAAATAACTTTAGATCAATTTGATGATCCAAATAATGACCAATCCTCGGTAATCAATTCAATTTTTTTTTTTATATTATAAGTGGATAAGAGGATTAAGAACAAAATTAAGATTCATAATTTCTATTATTTTTGATTGACTTGTTTAATTAAATTCTAATTTTATCTTTTATTTTAGATACTTCCAACAATTCTTAGGTGATGCTGATGATTATGAAAATCCTCTGGAAAAAGTTATTTCTTTTTAATTTATTTCGTTCGCAAATTTAAATTTAAATTCAATTTCTAACAATATTATTAAGAAAATGGTTCTGAACATCTAAAGTTATCGAAATAAGCAATAGAATGGAAGATGATTTCAATTAATTATTTACCGATTGAGTGTATATTAATCCATTTTATTTATTTATCTAATACAATGATAAATTTTACCATTTTATTTTAGATTATAATAATGATGATGAACTGGCACAATTTAACGCCCGATGATGGTTGTATATTTTATTTTACATTTTTAGTTATATATATATATATATATGCGTGTGTTTTGCAAATAAATGTATTGCTTACATTATTTCTTTCAATCAAAAGGTGCAAATTTGAAAATTTAACTAATATTAAAGATCAACATGTAACAAAAAACTTCCGACATCAACACATATTTAAGTCGGAAAGGTGAATAAAACATATTAAAAAAATAAGTTTGATTTTGTAATTTAAATTTTAATTCTTTAATTAGGAGGAAGGAAAGGTATGAAAAAATTTTATAGAATATTTATGCATGGATGATTAGATAATAAATAAAGCATATTGTAAAATGCATACATAAATAAACAGATGATCGTTATAATAAATGTATGATATACAACATATAAACGTAATATAGCAAATCAGTATAGAACGATCGTAAGCTAAAATTCCGTTTTTTGGTTCGCTAAAAAAACATATTATTTATAAAAGTAATTTCGGGTTTATTCAATCGCACGATACTAAAATTCGTAATCGCTCTATACCAAAATGCACAGACAAACAAGATCTCAGATCACCAGTGCATAGATTAACGGCTTATTTAATTAATAATACAAGTGTGATGCATTTTCGAGTAACAAAAGAAATGATTTTCGACAAACCAAACCCTTTCAGAAAACACTAACCCCCCTTCGAACAGGACTAACCCCTATTCAAAAAAGACAAACTTCTGCATCACGCACTAACTCGTGACATCTCCCAAATCGGGACGACTATTCTTTCGCTTGAAAAGATAAAATATATTACTTAGAACATTCCGTACAAGAATTCAAAACAATTTTATACTCTTGAAGTTTTTACAAAGAAAATGTCTTTTAAGTTTTTCGACAAATTATCTCAAAATTTTATTGAACTTCTTAACGATAAAGATGATTACAATGTAATCATCAAAGTTGAGAATGAAAAGTCGTTTATAGCGCACTCTAATGTGTTGAGGTGTCGCTCGACTTATTTTCGTAAAGAGCTGGAAAATATTATCCCGAATGAAAACAATATTAAGAATATTACTAAACCAAATATTCCTGGTGTGATTTTTGATATCATTCTTAAGTAAGTTATTATTATCATAAAAATTCTATAATGAGTTACAAAAAACTAATAATTAATATTTATTTTATAAGATATATTTATGGTGGAATTGTTATTTTCGAGAATTTTGAGCCAAGATTTATTTTTGACTTGATGATAGCAGCTAATGAACTTGAAATTGAAGAGTTGACCAAGAAATTGGAAAATCATCTCATTGAAACCAAAAGTTCTTGGTTAAAGTCTCATTTTTCTCTTGTTTATCATTCAATTTTTAACGGAATTAACTTCAAGAATTTAGTAAATTTTTGCGATAATATCATTGCAAAGTATCCAAGTCTCACCTTTGATGCTGAAGATTTCACTTCTCTTCAAGAAACTGAATTGGTTCCTCTCCTCAAACGAGATGATTTACAACTGGAAGAAGGGATAATTTGGGAATATATTATTAAGTGGGGAATTTCTCAGAATTCCACTTTACCTGTAGATCTTAAAGAATGGACTGATGAAAACTTTATAACTTTAAAAACTACTCTTCAACAGTGCCTACCTCTAATTCGATATTTCCATATTTCGAGCACAGATATTTGGAAAAGGGTAAAGCCTTATAAGAAAATCCTTGACGAACAACTTTGGGAAGATTTGAAGCAGTATTTCATGGCTCCCGATGAACCAGTGAAATCAATAATCTTACCACCAAGAACAATTTTAGGTCAAGAATTATCTTCCCGTATAATGACAGAACCAGAAAAATCATTTTCCACCATTATTACTTATGAACACATAGCTAAAATTTCCTCTTGGATTGATCATAAATCAAGTAGTTATTCTTTAACAAATAATCCATATGAGTTTCAATTAATATTAAGAGGAAGTATAAATGGATTTGAACCTAAAACTTTTTGGGATAAATGTCACGGCCATGCTAGTACTGTAGTGATTATAAAAGTTAAAGGAACAGACGAAATCCTCGGAGGATACAATCCTTTAGCTTGGGATAATACTATAACTCATTATAGTTGGGGAAAAACTGATGATAGCTTTATTTTCTCATTGAAAAATGGTAATATCCAAAATTCAATTCTTAGTAGAATAAAAAATCGTAATAATGCAATTGTGAATCCTGACAAAAGAGGGCAAGAATATTATGGCCCAATTTTTGGACACTACAGTTTTTATCTGCGTAGTCCTAGTTCTAATTTTACTTTAGATAATTACAGTGCGTGTCAGAATAACGGTAGTTATGAAA